AAATTTGTGTCTTCTAGGTTGCAACACCCCCATGATACATCTTCAAGAAAATGAGACTTTGGAGCTCCATTCCTTGCAAATTTACAAATATACCATCTTTTTAAAATAAACCCACCACAAACAACAATCATTTCATATCTGTAAAGTGAATTGTGTCCTCTATTAAATTATCAGATCCTAAATTTTCCATAGATACCATTAAAATTCACCAAGGACATGAATAAGAATGACCCAGGAGCCTTCGTGTGGTAATAAATCATGGAGAAAGGAACAGGTTGGCAGGTATGCTGATGTGCTGGAGATTCGTGTGCTGAAGTGAGCTAATTAGTAATTCAGGATTCTTTGACAGAATGTAATAATCTTTAGCAATCAGAAGCGGTGTATGTAAACATAGCTTACATAAGACTAGGCATGTAAGGAATATTCTAGACAGCCTCACCTTCCTCCATCTTCCTGAGGTGAAGCACAATAAGGTTAGAGATTCTGCAGTACTCCGAGAAACTCAGGCGCAAGGCTGCTTTGGGGACAGGTTCTTGGTTTACATCATGAACGTGGTCCCCAAGGCCATTCACAGGAGCTGGGCTGTCGGCATGGCCTAAGTGGAAAGTTAACCGTGGTTATGTACATTACTTAATACTGCCACAGAGAACCACAAACACATTTTTAGGTACTACAAACTTTAAAGGCAAATGGATTTGGATCTAAGGTTTAAAAAAAAGGATAGAAGATAAAAGTTTACAGAAGCTTAGATTAATCTGAATATTATGTTCAAAAGAGAGACCATCAACCTTCACCACTGGTGATGCTTTTCAGGTTTTCGTGGATAAATATAACAGCTATTTATTTGTGTCTCTGAGCTTATAAAAACCACAATTCACATGCCTGCTTTTACTCTTCTTCATCACTATTAGCAAGTGCACTGGCACTATGCCATCTCAGAGGATGAGAAGCTTCTGATCATGAATAAACGTCTCACCATTGATGCCAGCTGGGCTCTCGTCCACCTCCATCTGGGTCTCCTCGTCTTGATCTAGATTGACATCAGGTGTTTCTACACGGATGATTGATTTATTCAGTAATCGGAAGGCTTCCTTCACGTGTTTGGGTTGGACCTAAATAGATCAACATGATGTAACTAATAGATTTTCTTTAGACAAGTCTAACAGTGGTATTTTGGGTTCCTCAAGTCAACCTATCTACACGGAGTAACACCATACACTCACCAGAACAGTTAAAATGTTTGGTAATACTAAATTTTGGTAAGATTGTATAATAATAATTCTCACTTAGTAACAGACTATAAACTGATAGAAATTATGGCAGCTGTTACTAAAGGGAACACAGGTATCACCTTATTAAACTCCTACAGTACTTAACTGACACCAAAATGTGGCCCTTGATTATGGGCTAAGACTTATACATCCATTCACGGAATACTATACATAGAGAAAAATGGTGTTTGTTCTCTCCTACATAAAACATGGATGAATGTTAAGATTCGTAATACTGTCCTAGAGTCAGACACGGGAAAACGTGGCTGGCGATGATTTATATAAAGTGCAAACAATGGTTATCTAGTGCTGTTTTAACAGATATAAGGGGATGCTTGGACAAGCAGAAATCTTTTTGTCGTTTTGGAGGCTAGATGTCTGAATTCAAAGCACCAGGCACACAGCTTAGGAGGCAAGCCCCCACTTTCCTTCAGCATCTGGGCCTGGCCTTCCTGGAAATCTGTGTTATGGCACCAATCTTCTCTTAGGGTTGGGAGACTCTCAGTGCACAGAACCCCAGTCCGAAGAATGTGCTCTGTTCATGTCCATTCTTTCTAGGTGGAAATCAACCCCATCCTGCCAGCTACCTATTCCCTTTTATAACCGAGTAATATTCTGTTGAATGTTTAAGCCACACTCTGCTTATGCATTTGTTATTCATCTGTTGACAAATAGCAAAAGGTGATTGTTTCCAGTTTGGCAATTGTAAATAATGCCACAATGAACATGGGTTTAACTGTTCAAATCTCTCCTTTCAATTCCCAAATCTATATCTAGAGACAGAACTGATAGATCACTTAGTATCATATTTAATTTTTTGAGAAAACACCAAACCATGGAGTTTTCTTTTTTACAGTTGCTGTATGATTTTATGTTCCCACCAGAAACTGATAAGCACTCTTCTTATTCTTCAGCTTTGCTGATACTTGTTATTGTCTCTTCATGGCCATCCATCCTAGTGGGCATACAGGGAGTTCTGGTGGCCTAGTAGATAAGGAGTTGAACAGCAAACCCAAAGGCAGGCAGTTCAAATCCACTAACTACTACAAGGGAGAAGATGGGCAATCTTCTTTCATGTAATTTACAGCCTCTGACAAGACAGAGGAGGGCCAGCCCTGGATGAGTTCCCATACAATGGCAACGGGCTGAATCTGAGTGGGTATAAAGTGGTATCTCATGGAGGTTTTGATTTGCAATTCTTTTTAATTTTTATTATTTTTTATGTGTGAACCGTCAAATCGGATCTGAATGGTACAGGAGGAGACTGTCCCTCCTTCTTCAGCAGAGAATCTGGTGGAATTGAACCCCGCACCTCTGGGATTGCAGTACAGCTTCTTGCCACTAGGCCACCAGAGCTTGCCTGGTTTGCATTTCTTAACAGCTACCTATGCTGGGCATCTTCTTCGTCATCTCAATGACCACTGGAACATTTTCTTTGGAGAAATGTCTATAAGCGTTTCATTCATTTTTAAATTGAGATGTTCTATTCCCATGATATTAATAAATATTAGGTAACTTAAAAACAAAACAAAACAAAACAAAAAAACCAAAAAACAATCAAGACAGCCTGAGAATCTTTTATAAATACTAAAGCACCATTTAATAGATTTTGAAAACTCTGTCAGTGAAAACCTTATGGATCCTGCTGTGCATGGAGTTGTCACAAGTGAAGGGCAGACTCACAGGCAGGTAATAATAGGGTATCTGAAAACAAGACAAAGCAAATCCTTGAGATAGAAATGGTGTTTGAAGTCAGAACCTTCCTTGGCACAAGAGTGTTTCAGAGTAGAAAGGACATGCACTGCAATCTCAAAGGCCCACAGTTCAAATCTACCAGATGTTCTGCTGGAGAAGGAGGGCCAATCTCCTCCTGTGCCAGTCGGATCTGACTCAACAGTACACAACAAGGAAAAAAGAAAACAAAACAAAAAAAGAATTAAAAAGACAAAAGGAACTTTCTGGAATGATGAAAAAAATTTTTTTTTTTTACCTTGAGCTGAGTTGTCAAAGATACATAAATAGAACATGCCAATTATTCCTCAGTAAACATCTTGCCTTCATGTAAAATAAAATGATGCACTGAATGTAGTACATCAACTCAGATAAAGAAGATTTGCTATGGTTGGAGCAGAGAGGAGACTCAGAAGTCTCTCTGGATCATTGCATCCTCTTCCCACTCACCACTGCTTTAACATCTCACTATATAAACCTAAAGGAGGGACACCTCCTTGTTGCTACCTTAAACCAGAGGTCTAGCAGAGAAGGATCTGAATAAAATTTTCCTAAAGGACAACATCGATAGTTACTCACTATATGCACTATAAATGTATAACATGATTATTTCATTATGATTAACTTTCATCCAAAATGGTTGACAGAAACCTCCCTAAAGGGAGAAAACCCAGAGCCACACATCCTATGAGCAGTCAATAGTTGTCTGTAAAAAATATTACTACTTCCCCTGCCAAAGATGAGTACAAGCCTATACACCAGGGAGAAAATTCCTCTTTCTCTAAAAGAGGCTGTGGTACCTCATCACAACAATGCATGCGGGCCATGGCTTCGGAGAGCCGGATCATGCTCTCGAGCTGTCGCACTGTGATCCGCCATGACGATTTGGTGATGCCGGAGCCATCCCGCTGGCGGAGACGTTTGTACTGTTCCACAATGAAGTCTTCAGACTCCTTGGAGATCTGGTGAAGAAAATCACTCAAGTCAGAGGAGCATCCACTTTACAGAAGGAACCCATCTTAACATAAAGCAGCTTGGTAAACAAAAGAAACAGAATGTTGTTGTTGTTATGTGCCGTTGAGTCGCTTGTGACTCATAGCGACCCTATATACAACAGGTGCACTGCAGGAAAAAAGCAGCAGGCGGTTCCTACAGAGATACACACACGGCCTTGGAGGCCTCAGCAACAGAGTGGCTAGGAGTCAGAATTGATTTCATGGCAGGGGATAGGAAGGGAAAGCAAGGGAATACAGATGACTTGTCACAAAAACTGAGCCTGATCCCTTTACTACTACTACTACTATTTTTTTTTTATCCCTTTACTTCTAAGGACCCTACTAAGCCTCTTCTGGCTGGGGGTAAAAGAGAATTATGTTAATTATTGCAAACCAGTAGTTTGTTTTCATCTACTAACCTGAGGGACCGAGTTTTTCCTCAGATAGATTTAAAGGGCTCTTAGTAGATTAGGCACCTAAAGTGGCTGAAGTGAAAGACTGTTCTAGTTTAGTCAATTATCTTCAACTCTTAACAAATAGAAATTAGGACAAATTTTCATTAGAACATAACAGTTAAAAATCAATGGAATGATTCAGGTTCTAAAACAACACATATGATTTAGAAACAAACAGTTATTTTTTAAAAAAGTTTTAAAGTAGCGAAGATTAAGAACAATTACCAGTCCAATTCATCTTTATGCCGTAACCCCCACCCTCAGCTCCTAAGAGCAGGTTACCTTGGGTTTAAACTGTCTTGCAAAGAGAAGATACCTCCTAATATCATCAAGGGAATAGACACGATCAATTGACTCCTCAATTCTTGAATGTAAATCAACAATTCGCCTGGCAATAGCATAATCAGTAACCTAATTCAAAACAAGAAAATAACTTTGATCAGTCACAGAAATATGTTATAGAGACTTTCCAAAGCACTGAGAAATGATATGGAGCTAACATATCACTGAAGGAAATACCATGGGATGCCAATTTCTAAGAAAAGTTTGTAACAATACGATTTATTTAAAACAAGATTTAAAATTAAGTGTACTTCTGTCCACTCCAAGGATATTCCTGAGGTATTCATAAAAACCTTTTTGTTTAAATTTTTGGTTGCCATCTCAATTAGAATTCTGTGCATCAACAAAGACCTTCTTGACCAAAAGACAAACAGAAAAGAATGTCCCTGAGAATGGATTGGGTTTTAATAACAATAGCAGCAAATAACATTCTTCTGTAGATGCCAGGCAATGCTTCCTTATGGATAACCAGAAATAATAGCTAATGTAAACTTCACAGGAACTTTATTAAGTAGGCAATATTCCAATTTTACAGATAAGCAAATTGAGGGCCAGAGAGGCTAATAAATATGTTCAAAGTCAGTTAGAAATAGGAAAGTCATTATGTGAAGTCTAACCTCATTATCTTTGTACTTCACACATTACATGATATTCCTACTCATGATATATAAAACTAATGATCCCCAAATCATTTCTAACATTAATACAAAAGAAAAACAAATATATGGAAATGAAATCCCTCTCAATCTGGGTTGAAACAAAATCTTACATGCTTTGCAAAGAAACCTCCTTCCACTTCACAAAATAAAAACAAAAACAAAAAAAGATTTAACTCCAACCTTCCAGTATTTATATTATGGAAGGCAGTTTTTCCTATGCTTTTTAGATATTTAAAATTCTGCATGACTCCAGCTTCATTTGGAATGGAAAGAAGCCACGAATAAGCAAAGCACTCCTTAAAAATAGAAAAACGGTAGGAGGCATCTCACTCCCT